GGAGGCGGCAGTCTTTGATCACATGTCCTGGCTTGCCGCAATTATAGCATTTAGGAGCTTCTTCTGCTGATGATGCCTTCCTAGAAGATCCTTGATCATGGTTCTTCTGCTTGTAGTTTGAGGAGGAAGTTCTCAGCCTGTTGGAGGAGCTGTTCTTCTTAGCAAATCTCTTGGCAAGCATTGCCATCTTTTTCTGTAAGTCTGCTAGCTCAGCCTCTAGATCAGTTTTGTCATCGTCACTTTCATCATCATCTGATTCAACCACCACCTTCTTCTTTTTCTTCTTTAGTGAAGTGGTTGTCCTTCTTGGCTGAGCATCCATTACAAGAGCTAAGGGATTTGTGGTGTGATGATCCTCAGTACAGGCAACCTCGTTGACGAATTGCTTCAGATGTTCATAGAGAGTGCAGAGGTCAATTTCGTCCAGATCTATCCGAGATCTGACATCCTTCACTGTCTTTTCCCATGCAGGATGCAGGCTGGATAAAAATCTAATATTCAGTTCCAGATTGGACCTGAATACTTTGATCTTTCTGAGTTCATTTACCAGTTGAACAAGTCTGTTGTAAGTCTCATTCAATGGTTCTCCTGGACCTGCTTTGAAGGAGTCATAAGCGATGAGAATCGTAGTCTTCTTTGTTTTGAGGCTGATGCTTGTGCCTTGTAGCAGCTTCTCAATTTCATCCCACATTTCCTTAGCTGTCTGAATGCTATCTATGAGAACATAAACCTCATTCGGTATTGCTTGAAGGAGGTACGTTTTGGCCATAAGATCACCACGAAGTCTGAGCTTGTTGGCTTCTGTGTATTCAGACGGCACTTTTCTCCTTATTTCTGGAAAAATAGGAGGATTGTTCTCTGGATCTCCACCAACTGAAATCAAGAGTTCAGCTGGTCCTTCAAGCAAAGATTCGAGCATTGCAGAAGAGTTCTCTTTGTGCTCGAGGAAGTTTAGAAATCTGTTCCTCCACATTTGATATTCTCCCTTCCTGAGGCTAGGAGGGGTACTGCTGTTCCCTTGTGCATTGTATTCTGAACCCATTGCTGTCCTAAACTGACCGTTCGAGAAAATTGATCAAAAGATTTTCAAAGGCAGAATCTCGAAAAATCAGATGTCGAGATCTGAATATCGAAATCTCAGATTTCGATAAAGGAGGCCCGGTATCGAGATTTGGGCTCGAGATTAAGGATCTCGAGATTAGGGATCTCGAGATTTCAAATTTCGAGATGCTGATCTCGAGATTTGAAATGTCGAGAAGTTAATCTCTCGAAATCTTTTCTCGAAATCAAGATTTCGAAATCCTAGATGTCGAAATCCTCAGTGTCGAAATCCTTCAACATGTAAAAATCAGATAAACAAAATCTGAAGGTAGTTTCGAGTAGAGTTGAATGTCGAGATCTTCTGGTAAAGTTTTCAGCTCGAAAAACGTAGCAGAACCTGTGAAGAAGTAGGATGTCGAGATGCCTAGCTCGAGATATCTCAAAATCTAAAATTGCTTAAAACACAAACTGAAGTATACCCTTTGATCGCTTTGAAAAGGCGATTCCAAAGGTGTAACTTTTACAACTTTTGAACAAGAAACAAAATTACAGAGCAAAAAATCGACAGAATGAACTACGTTAACAAAAACAGAGTATTCTGCAGGAGTTCTTCTGATCGTTCTCGATCGGCTCTGATACCAATTGTTAGTCCCTGTTTCTGTAACAGCAATGAATAATCGATCTAACAAGGAAGATTAAACGTAAAGATGAACACAGAATGAATCACCGTAAAACCTTCTTTGATAAACCGTGGAACGTACAGCAGAATGATAAGCGTAAGGCTATGAGTAATAAGTACAACGTTCAACCTTTTCCTAAACCTCGGCTCCCTTTTTATAGGCGAGGTTTAGGTTAGGCGTACCAGGCTTTTGGCCTGTTTAAATGGGCCTAACACTTGGCCTGATTTCTATCTAATTTATGCACTATTTAAATACAAGGATTAAATATAAAGCTAATCTATGACCAACTTGATTCACAATTAAATATCTCCAACAGTACCAAGTACAACGTCACATCCAACAGCCTCATTTAATGCGCCACATGCGAATGCCAGCGCCACCCCGTTGAGGTGACCCCTCGACCACCAGAATGATGACACGTGTCCCTATCTGGCATTTATTACTACTATAAATAGCACCCCTTTCCCCCATTGTAAACCACACTGAATACATATCAAATATACACTCTCTCTCTCTTACTTACTTGCTCTGACTTCTCTCTAGTTATTCTCCGCAATAACCCCTCGGATAAGCTACCCCCGTGTAGAGTATCCATCAACTATAGTAGTACAAATTTAAATAATTAAACCATACATCGGTCCGATTCCAGGCTTTCTATGAACTAGCAAAGACGGTGAAAGTGTGAAAGCACTGGTCAAAGTAATGGTAGAAATGTAAATTTAAATAATTAAATCATACTTCGGTCTGGTTCGGTCCGGTACCGGTTCTCATTTTATGAGAACCGGTCATGGCATTGTTTAGAACCGGTACGGTCCGGTTCAGGGCAAAACATTCGAGATCCATTTCAAACCCCGTTTTTCGGTCTGGTACCATACCGGTTCGGTTCGGTACCATGTCGGATCGGTATTTTTGCCCACCTCTACTTTTTTCTGACTGCAGGTAAATATATATATACTCCCTCCGGTCCTAAATAAAGTTCACACTTTCCTTTTAGGGCCGATCCAAAATAAATTTCACACTTCTCCCTTCCTTATTCGGCAAATTATCTACATCAAAACAATGCAAAACAGTGCCAAACAGTGCCCAAGAGTGCCAAACAGTGTCACAACAGTGTACTCTACAGTAAAGTCAAATTTATTTCCTTAATATGTGTGAAGTCAAACACTGAACTTTATTTAGGACCGGAGGGAGTATATGTGAATTTGATAAGTTGTTCCTTTTTGTAATGAAGAAAGTTGCTCAAAAACTCGACATTCAGATATACAATGCTGGTGGTAGGAATTACCATTCGCCGCCCTGTATCCTTAAATACCCTACACTGAGTAAAAAATGAAAAACAGAATTGGATTTTTTACTTCTTTTTACAGAAATTCCCACATGTGTTTTTTTAGTATTGAATTTAGCTTCATGACTCATTTTGAGTAGTTCACCGTTTTTTTGTTTTCTGCCTTACATCATATTAAAGTTTTATCAACATTCTTATTGCTTTTTTTCAATATTTTTTTTATATCGTCTCCTTTTCTCTGTTTTCTCCTTTACATCATATTAAAGTTTTATCACCATTCGTACTATTGCTTATTTTTACTATCTATTGTGCTTCAAATTATCATTATAGTAAAAAAAAATCCAGCTTCTTATCTAGAACATTTTTTTACATATAACATTTTTTACCTACATTCTTATCTGAATTTAACTTCTTATTTTTACATACAACATTTTTTACCCAGAACATTTTTATCATATAATTTTGAAATTCTGTTTCAAAGTATCATATTTACATGCTTCACCTCTTTTTCTCAACTTTAAGAGTGTTAAAATGGTAAGCATATTGTACAATAAAAGAAACGTTTTGTTTGTTAAATAAATACTTTAAAATGGTAAGTATGCTCTACCTTATACGAAATGTTTATTTAAATAAAATAAAAACTTAAAAATAGCAAGTATATTCACCATATAATAATCCTAGAATCAAAACCTAGAAGGAAACACTTTTGTAAGGGAACGTGCAATCCTATATATACATGGGATAAATCTACCTTCTATTTTTACACTCATATAATAAATCTATTTAGTTAATAAAAGCCTTATTTCGTTTCTATATTTATTGAGAGTCCCAACTATATGAATGTTAATAATCTACCTTCTATTTAGACTCATATCATATAATAAATCTGTTTAGTTAATAAAAGCCTTATTTCGTTTCTATATTTATTAAGAGTCCCAACTGTATGAATGGTAAGAATCTTATAGCATTATTGTATACATATATAAAATCGTGCACTTAATTACAGGTATCATTAATAACCCTAACTACATAAGCAAATGTGCATCTTCTAAATTACAGAATGAATCATTGAGATTCATATTTAAGGGTCCAAACATATTTACACACTGGGATCAAACGACCCTCTATTATATATACACGCACATACCATTAACTTAGAAAGTACTCGAGCATCTTAGTGTTTGAAGGTAGAGGTTCAACAGGTATGTCATTAACCTTTTATAGTTCAATCATCTTTCACCACTAAACCAATGACCTTCATTCTGATCAAAATCCTTCGTGAACTTACATCATATGATACATGTGTTTAGTTGTTATTATTAATTATTATAATATTTATTATTCTAATTATTATTATATCATTATTATTATATTTCTTTTCAGATTTATACTTTCCATTAGTAAAATATTTTAAAAAATACATATACACTTATAACTTGCTTTAAAAGTACGTTCAGTGTATTCATAATTTCTGGTGTTCAAATCTTGCTTCTTCTTTGAATGATATTGGAGAAAAAATGCCACCTCAGAAGAAATTTCTTTCCTATGTGAATCTTCAACTTCGACGAAATTCTGCCTTTTTGTTTCGTGTAATTAGAAAGTGGACTGTGAAAGATCAGAACATAAGTTTGGGTTCCCGCATTTGTGAATTTGTTTTGATGGATAAAAAGGTGATGAACTAACCAATGCCATATTTTTGAATTACTTTTTATTCTATTTTATCTATCTTTTTCATTGAATCTGTAAGCTTCCCTCTCACCCTGATATGTGTTCTGACTTAGTCTTGGAAATAAGAGAATTATGTTTAACTAAAGAATCCTTCTATTAATATGCCTTTCACTTATCCTCTTCTTAAATTTGATTTTATAGTCAACTACAAATCTAATAAAAAAGCACCTATTAGTACTTTTCATAACTTACCAAACACTATGAAATGTTAGGTAGAAAGCTCTGTTTTTGCTCATTTGTACTTTACATGGATAATAAATTCATCATTCAACTCACAGCCTGATCAAATTCAAGCAACGGTCCCTCTCCACTTGATCCCCCAATTTGAAGACCAATTTGAAGAAGGCAACCTATATGCCATGCTCAACTTTTCTGTCAAGGAGAATCAAGGGGGTTGGAGTAGAGAAACATCTCATCCATTCCGTTTGCTGTTCACCGAAAAAACAAAAGTCATGCTTCAGACAAATGAAAAACATCAAGAATTTCCAAAGAGCGTTTGTAATATCATAGCCTATGCAGATATCATCAATTCCCCAGATGTGGAAGCTCCCAATTTGATTGGTATGTTTCTAAAACAATATCTAAATGTTGGTAGGATTACATATTTTTATCACTTTATGTTCTAACATTACCCTTAATTAAAATTAGATGTTATTGGTGCGTACAATACAACAACAACATACAACAACATCCAAGCCTTAGTCCCAAAAGATATTGGGGTCGGCTAACATGAATCGATACATGATATCACAACCAAAAGGAAAAGAAAGAAAATAAAGATAAAAAGGATAAGCTATTATAAAAAGATAATATAAAAAGAGATGAATATACATAAAAATGATAAAATAAAAAGAATACAAATAATGCTTATATATATAAGGATAAAAAACAAGGAAAAAAAAGATGAGGGAAAAAGATTATATGAGATCACTCCTTCACGCGAATACCCGCCCTCCACTTAGTTCTCTCCAAAGTCATGCCCTCATCCAACCCCAGAAGAAGCATATCACTTCGAACTCCCCTAACCCACGTCTGTTTGGGTCTTCCTCTCCCTCTCTTCCCTGCCTCTTCTCCACACATCTCAACTCGTCTGACAGGTGCATCACTCGGTCTTCTACTCACATGACCAAACCACCGAAGGCGTGACTCCCGCATCTTGTCTTCAATAGGTGCTACTCCCACCCTTTGTCTGATTGTCTCATTCCTCACGCGGTCCTTCCTAGTATGCCCACACATCCAACGCAGCATGCGCATCTCTGTCACACTCATCTTTTGAATGTGACATTGTTTCACCGCCCAACACCAAGTGATGGGAAAGGCTCCTGGTGTCGATTTCTGTTGGTCAATCTAGAGTTGAGATATGATTATGCAGAATAAATTCATTCCCACACACACAATCTTATTGCTCTATTGTATTAACAATCTCATAACTAACATGTAGGAACACCAAAATAACATGCACACTATGGAATGAGTATTCAGCGCAATTTCTAGATTTTATTAAAACAACTAGGCATGATCCCATTATTGTGCTACTGCAGTTTTGTCGGATAAATAAGTGTTATGGTATACCTACATCCCTTCTAAGTCTCAGATTATGTTTTTAATGTCTTACATTTGCTAATTTCGTTTCGAGGATGCAATTAGTGACCTAATGAAAGTGTATATTTCATTTTGTCGGTGATACGAATTGAAGGGTGTGTCGTCTGCATGACAGTTTACAAAGTTACTAATTGATGAGAACATCCCTGAGATTGATGAGTTTCGAAGCCGGTGGTGTGGACACTTTTTATCTTGGTGTTGTGGTATAGTGTTGTCCTTAATTTATTTTATATTATTCAATCTTACATTTTCTGCTATTTCAATCATTTGTTGCAGTTATATGGTGGCCGTTCATCAACCAACACCATCAAGTACTTTTGTTTCAAAATCATCTACTGCATCATTTACTAATGGTGATGAGATCGGCTTTACCAAATCACTTTCAGAGTTACCCACTACGAAGGCGGTAATATGTTAAACTGCGGTTATTAGATATTAAATTAGTAATTTTGACATTACTCATTTTCTCTCAAATAAGATGTTTACTGTTCCATGTTTAATAATGTTTAAAGGACATTGTATGTGGTTGAATACTGTGTCACTTTTTCTGATTTGTTTTCTCACTTATTGTTTCCCTAGAACCTGCTATCAATAAAAGATGCGGACACGTTTCACTTTGGTGGTTGTAGGAGGTATGCTTGCAGAGGCTAAAGTGCCGTATAGATGTTTCCAATGGTAGTTTTAATCCTTTTTGTAGAAAATACATCTGGAACATTGTTGTTTAAACTCCAAAGAATCCAAACTTCCTATTATTATTCTTATTGTGATTACTGGAATATGGTGCAGCTAAATGACACCATAAAAGTAAATAATGTTTAATTTGAAACATAATAAGGTAGCTGGTGAAAAGTTTTCGCTGGGAAAAAATGTTAATCTCAGTGACAAATACTTTCTATAAACTTGGAAGTTTAAACTACAAATTGACATTATTGTAGCAGTTTGACTGCTTGAGAATACATTCATTGTATTATATACTGTTATCGTCTCTGCTTCAAAATCCACATTCTAGACCACATTAGATTTTACTTTTATTTGCATTTTATTCAACTGTGGGTTTCGATTCACTACTCATTATCCCTTCGAATATCTTGACATGATGAGACATTAATCTCTCTCTAACTCATTATAAGTTTTATTAAGGCTATATAGAGATTGAACTCTAACGGCACAATCAAAGTGTTGAATAAGACCTAGATTGATGAGAAATAAAGTTTCATTAAGAGAACCTCATACAAGGTGCTAACTCACTAACCCCAACCATAACCAGGAGGCCAAACTTAAGCAGTAAGGTTAGGTTTTATGTCCCCCTAAATGTTATGTGTCAATTCTATTCTTCTTTTTGAAGTTTTTCTTATTTATATGGTTGTAGTATCTGGTATTGATGCGCCAGCATCATATAGTGAGGAAAACTTAAGATAGCTTATCTCTTATATTAGCTTACTGATACGCTTGTAATTTCCATTTGTATGTTTGTGTTTTTAATTAGTTTTGATTGATTTTTACTTTGGAAATTACACACTTTTGGTGTAATAGTTTAGTTTGTTAAATTCTTGTAAATTGTCTAGATTAGGTTTATTCTGAGCTCAAATAGGTCTTGTTCAACTCAAAGGACAGTTGGTGAAACTCAAAAGTGGAAGGAATGTGCAAAAATCAAAAGAAAGAAGATTCTGATTTTTTGGTCTATACCCGGTCGAGTACGACCTATACTCGATCGGGTATCTTGTTGAAATCTCAAATCGGATCAGATCCGAAGACAAAGGATCATGCAGAGAAGATTCGGACCACGATCGAATGTCCATACCCGATCGGGTACACCGACACACCCGATCGCGTATCCCTTCAAATACAAACCCGAACTCGGTCGAGTATGCCCCAGATCTGAAGTTATAAGCATACTCGTCCGGGTACAAAGGTATACTCGATCGGGTATGCTTATAAAATTTTCCCTTTGATCGATCGAGTATACCTCGAATTTGAGGTATTACACATACCCGATCGGGTACCTTGCATATACCCGATCGGGTACCCGAGCTGCATCTCAAAAGCATATAAATACACCCCCTTTCCTTCACAATTATATATCCAATTCCTTTATACATCTAAGCTCAGTCTAGAATAGTTCTTTCTTTATATTTTTCATCATGTTTAGTCTTCAAATGAGGAGCTAAACTCTTCCATCTTGGTTTTGCTATTTTGAAGCTTAATGATTTGTAAGTTGTGAGTTATTTTCTTTAATCTTCTTTCTTTAATATTAATTCTTTCCTATTCATATTCCATATTAATATTTTGAGCATTACTTAAAGTATCAACTAGTTTTGTCTCTTATATTAATTATTACTAGAATCAATCGGTTAATACGCTTGTTATTAATCCGGTTATTTCAACAGTAGTAAACTTGGATTATTAATGCATGCATCTCATGGTTAATATGCCAAGGGGAATTAATTATATTGATTAAACCAATAAACCGCTTGTGTTGAGGTTATCAATCTCAATCGTTTTCATCTTAAGTTTATTGCTACTATCAAGTTAATATACGGCGCTTGTTCTATATTGACTCGATAGTAAGTTTTATTAATGAACGCATCTCGTTATTAATAACTACCCTCGATGAACTGGATATACTCCTCGATTGAGTATTCGAGAGGAAAATAGTTAAAGATATAACCGGGATCGACGAACATTTCATTAAGTGGATAAAAGCAAAACCAAGTCCTCATCTCTATTAATTAAACCACATAAGACGTTCATCTTAGTGTTAATTAAATTAAATTAAATCAAACTCACCCCCCCCCCCTTTGTTACTCATTATATAAAAGAAAAGTATTCCTTTCCCTGTGGATACGAACCTTACTTCGTTATACTACGTATAATCGTTGTATTGTATTTATTTTGAGTGCACCTCACGACAAAGTGCACGTCAAATTTGGCGCCGTTGCCGGGGAAAGGCAATTATTTTTCTTTTATTGTATTTCAAGAAAATATAAAAAAAAATATTAAATAAAAATATAAAGAGATCTTATTTTTCTATTTCTGAGCTTTGAAGTATATGGTTAAATATCGTTCACTGAACGAAATCACCTATCAAACCAACCCCGAAATAGAACAAACTTTCGAGCGGTTGAAAAGTAAATTTTCTAATACCGACTCGGAAGAATCATCTACCAGAGATTCATACACCGCTAGCTCTAGTTCTAGCGAATCCGAAGAGTCCTTTCACATGACTCTTGTAACGAGAACACTGAGGGAGCTCACAGCTCTGAACTTGAATCAACAACCACTGTGTATTACCTTCCCTACACTTGATGAGGGTAATACGTTTGAGCTAAAATCTGGGCTCATTCATCTGCTGCCATCCTTCCATGGCCTGAGAGGAGAGGATCCGAACAAACACCTCTCGGAGTTTCACGTCATTTGCACAAGCATGTGTCCAAACGGTGTGACGGAAGAACAAATCAAACTGGGGGCTTTTCCATTTTCTCTAAAGGATACCGCAAAGGATTGGCTATTCTATCTTCCTTCAGTAAGTATAGGTACATGGGAGGCCATGAAGAAAGCTTTCCTCGAAAGGTATTACCCTGCCTCTGTCTCCTCATCTCTCAAAAAGCAAATTAGCAACGTGGAGCAAAAGGATGATGAATCATTCTACGAATATTGGGAACGATTCAAGAAACTTTGTGCAAGCTGTCCATACCACGACTATTCGGAGCAAGACCTCATCTTATACTTCTATGATGGTCTTTGCAATGAAGATAGGCGGATGATCAACGCCGCATGTGGAGGGGGGATTGTCAACAAGACTCCTCAAGCTAGAAACCTTATCTCGGAGTTGGCCGAGAATTGTAGACACTATGATCGGCGGTCATCAAAACGAGTTATGGCAACGGAATCCAACAACTCGTTGGAAAGTCAAGTACCCGGCTTGACTTCTTTGGTTAAAGATTTTCTCTTAAATCCAAAAACTCAAGAAGTCAAGGTCTGCGGCATATGCTCGACACAAGGGCACCCCACCGACTCTTGCCCAATGCTACAAGAGGAGAACTCCGAACAAGTCAATGCTTTGGGGTTTCAAAATCTTAAGAGGTATAACCCTCACGGCAACACCTATAATCCGGGATGGAGGGATCATCCTTATTTAAGGTACGGAAACTCTCAACCTCCACAACCATCAAATCTTCCCCATCAACAATATAAACAACAAAGCCAAACTTCGAACTCGAACATGACCACCGAAGATATGATTCGATCACTTGCCATGAATATGGAAACGATGCAACAAAGTGTGGTCCAATTTCAAGAAACAACAAAATCCAGCATCCACAACTTGGAAATCCAAATCAGCCAAATCTCAAATGTCGTGAGTAGGCTTGAAGCTAAGGATTCGGCAAAGTTACCATCTCAAACGGAGCCGAATCCTAGGCAACAAGCCCATGCAGTCACATTAAGGAGTGGCAAGGAGTTGGTTATTGACAAGGAGAAGGCAAAGAGCCACATTGGCGAAGAGGAGGAAGAAGAGGAGCTGGTGGAAATAACTCAACCGGAGGTGGAAGTTCAAATCTCAACCCCACCACCGGTCATCCCCGAAATTGAAGCACCCTTCCCCGAGGCTCTAAGGGAAACGCGAAAGCTGGAGAAAGACAAGGACATCTATGAGACATTCTCCAAACGTGAGGTAAATATTCCTCTCCTTAACTTGATAAAGGGTGTTCCTAGATTTGCAAAAATTTTCAAAGAGCTATGTACAATTAAAAGGAAACATAGACTCAATGGAAAACAAAAAGTCCAAGTTAGTGAATGTGTTTCGGCGGTCTTTCAAAAGAAACTCCCCAAGAAATAGAATGATCCGGGCATGTTCACTATACCTTGTAAGTTGGGAGGTACTACGTTTTCAAAGGCCATGCTAGATTTAGGAGCATCAATTAATGTCATTCCTTACTCTTTATACAAATCATTTGAGCTTGGCCCTCTAAATGAAACCGGAGTAGTCATTCAACTTGCGGATAGATGAAATGCTTACCCTAAAGGTATTGTCGAAGACGTACTAGTTATGATTGACAATTTGATTTTCCCCGCTGACTTTTATGTTTTGGAAATGGAGAGTGATAAGAATGCGGTTCATATCCTCTTAGGAAGGCCATTTTTAAAAACCGCTAGAGCAAAGATTGATGTATTTAGCGGCTCTTTAACAATGGAATTTGATGGAGATAAAGTTGAATTCAACATTTATGACTCCACGAAATATCCAAATGAAAATCATTCTTTGTTTGCCATTGATATTGTTGACCCTTTTGTACAAAATACTTTTGAAATTAATGGAGAAGATGAATTGTTGAGTATACTTGAGAATGACTTCGGGGAAAACTCCTTAGAACTTGCCTTGACTCCCAACACACAAGCTATGATGGTGGAATTGGATACTCACTTCCAACTCCCACTTATGCCACCGGGGTCGAGAGCATTTCCACTAACCATCCCCGAAGAAAAGCCTTTTCCTTCAGTTTTGCAGGCACCCGAAGTTGAAATGAAACCACTCCCAAAACACTTGAAATATATGTTCTTGGGAGAAAAGAGACACTACCGGTAATTATCTCAAACAAATTGACCGGAGAGCAAGAAGGTAGATTGATAGCGGTGCTCAAGGAGCATAAACTAGCAATTGGATGGACTATAGCTGACATCAAAGGCATTAGTCCATCTACATGCATGCACCGCATCTTAATGGAGGATGAAGCCAAGCCGGTGCGACAGCCGCAAAAAGACTAAACCCACCTATGATGGAGGTGGTCAAAAAGAACGTGATCAAGCTACTCCAAATGGGGATAATCTTCCCCATTTCCGATAGCAAGTG